AAGAAACCAACAAGGCAGACACCTTGATCTCAGACTTCTAGACTTCAGGACTATGAGAAAATTGATTTCTGTTGTCTCAGCCTCATAGTCTGTGGTATGATAGAACTAGTAAACCAACAAATACACTGTGCCTGATATCCAGAGGATTGTTAGTCTGGCTCTTGGGGCAACAGTGTGATCAGAGGACCTTTTAGGGGGTCATTCGGGGGATGGGGTCTTTCAAGGGATGAATCTAAATCATGGTCTAGGAGGACAATAAAAGATCAGAGGCAGAGCTCTGTACTAAGTCCAGAAGGGGAGTCAAATCTAGAGAAAAGAAAAGAAGTCCTTAAGTTAGAAGCTGAGAAGGAAGGGAATCAGGGTGTAGATAATTAATGCGGTGCTATTGCTTATGTGAAGAATGTTAGAGAATAGTTTACAGCCAATGTCAGTATCTTTGGAGCAGGATCCTGGGCCCTGGGTGTGGGACAGATGAACAGCTTTCCTCATCAGCCCCCATCACTGGCTGGGTTCTAGGCTCGCACGGCAAAGGACTCTCACTCTGAAGTGTTTACAGTGTTTACAGTGGATTTTACCTTCCATACATGATCCTTCAGTCTCTACTGTACCTCTGAACTAGTTATTCTTCAGAGCTGCTCTCAGTGGCAGGTGGGAAAGATAAAAGTCACTGGTCTATAGGGTATAGTTTCTAGAACCAAGGGAATAATCTCTTTGGAGACAGTAAAGCAAAATACTAACCTGATCATCTAAATAAGTGATAAGTACAAAAAACAGACAGGAGCAGATAATCTAGTTGAAGGCAACAGGACTAATACTGGAGAAACAAAGATATTGAAAAGATCCACAGAGATACTAATAAATAGGGCCTAGAGTAATTCCTGAAATTAATGATAAACCAGCTCAGTGACATTTTCAGGTTGGTGGTAGCTTCAAGTTTGGGTTATATTGATATACACCCCCAACCTACTTGAATTGTGCCCTTTTGGATTTCATGAATACCCTCCAAATGTTGCCAAACAGTGTTTCTCAACAGTGCATGAACATGAGAATCACCGAGAGTACTTTTTAAAAACATTTGCTGCCTGGAGCCCATCTCAGAAAGCCTGATTTAATTGTTTTTGGAGTGAGGATGACAATTCTACAATTTCTATTTTTAATATTTGAGGATTATGATATGCAATGTATTGAGACTTACTGCTATAGATCATAAGGGTGCATCTGCCATTGCCTCTTGATGAGGCCTATCAGTTCCAGAGGAGATCTTACCTTTATGGGAACGTTCTAGCAGAGAATTTCTCAGCCATGTAGTTTCAGATACACACTAATACTCAGGCTTCCAGGAAAGCAGGTTCACCAAAGAGTTCTGGCAGCGTGTTTAATGCATGTTTAACCTGCACTTTTAAAAGATAGAAGCTTATCAGGCTCCCTGACTTTCTGGTTGGTTTAGGCAAGAGTCAGGTTTACAGAAATGATATGTCTAGTCTTAAAATCTGCCTTACTGACAGGTCTTGCATAAATACCATGAGGGCAGATCACCAGGAGATTGTTACACAGAGAAATATAGACCTAGATCTGCCCAAGAAAACACGATCAAGAACGTCCTGCCCCTTCTTGCACTTAGTTATTCATTCGTGTTCAGAAAACATTTACTGAGCACCTACTATATTCCAAGAAGTTGATCTGCAAGCTGAACAGTTAAAATTTTTCTAACTCACTGATATTGCTATTTAGAACGTAAATAGAGCTCTAGTTCGGGCATCATGGTTTTGGCTTTATTTTGTTTTGTTGTTTTGCACACCATTATATCCCGTATGCCTAGCAAATAGAGACCATTAATAAATATTTGACGAATGAATAAGTGAATGGATGCCTGAGTAAGTGAATTAATTAAATGAAATATATCCCTGCAAAGGTGCTTATGACTCAAGAAAGAACAAGATCCTGGAAGAATATGCACAGAGAAAAATAAATTATGCAAGGAGTTTAGGGAATGCTCCTTGTGGAAAATCAATTATGCCCAAGATGAGATCCATGATGTCAGAGATGAGATCACAGTAGTAAATTGGAAATAGAGGGTTGAAAGGCCTGAAGGCATGAGAAAAAGCAGATTATCTTGGGAATTTCAAATTCGGTGTGACTAAAGCTTTGATGGAGAAAGTAGAGTTGAAGAATTAGGAAGGAGATAGGCCATCTAGAGCTCACTAGACCATGTTTAGTTTCTCATTTCAGCTGTGACGAATTACCACAATCAGTGGCTTAAAACAACACAAATTTATTATCTTACAGTTCTAGAGGTCAGAAGGCTGAAGTGGGTCTCACTGGACCAAAATCAAAGTACTGGCAGGGCTGCATTCTTTTCCAAAGGCTCTAGGGGAGAATCCATTGTCTTGGTTCTCCCAGCTTGTAGAGGCTGCCCGCATTCCTTGGTTCATGGCTTCCATCCATCTTCCCAGCCAACAATAGCCAGTGGGGTCCCTTTTCGTGCTTTGAATTTCTCCTACCTCTTCTTGTGTCTTCATATCTCCCTGAAATGCTTTTCTGCTTTTAGGAGTTCACATGTTTGGAATGAATCCACCCAGATTATACAGAATAATCTTCTCTTAGTCACATCTGCAAATTCCTTCCTGTCATGTAGGGTAAAATATTCCCAGATTCTAGGGATTAGAATGGGAACAACTTGGGGCGTCGCTATTCCGCCTGCTGCACCATGTAAGAAAACTTGGACTTTATCATAAGAATGATAGGAAGCTTACAGACACATTTTCAGGAGGAAATGGTACAATCAAATCTGCCTTTTTAAAAGATTCTCTGCATGATTTATGGAACTTGGATTAGCAAGAAATTATTGTCATCCAGGAGATATGTAATGTTAGTGTAGAGCAGAGAAGTGTCTGGCAGAGATGAAGGAAGGATGGATTTGAGAGTCAATTACGAAACTAAACAACAGATTTTAATGGTTGATTAGTTACAGGTGATGAGTGTGAGGGATGCAGGATAAGACAGGGAGCACCCACACCTCGGGCCAGGCCAACCACATAAATGAAAATGCTGTTCACCCAGAAAGCAACTATAAGGGGAGGTAGCAGCTTTGAGAGAAGAGGAAGAATAATGAATTTGTTTTGGGAATACATCGAGTTCAGTGAACCGAAACAAAATCCAAGTGCAGATGTCCAGTTGGGAGTTATATTCAAGAGCTTAAAATTCAGGGGAGATGTCTGGACTGCACAGAAACCAAAGCCCTGGGAACATGTAGACAGAAAAAGGAAAAGACAGGTTCAAAGGGCAGGGCCTTGAGGAAAAACAACATTCCAGAGACTTTCTAAGGAAGAGAAGCCTACATGGGTGAGTAGGACAACTGAAAGAGAAAGAAGAAATGGTAGGAGTTTAGCGTCATTCAGTCCAAGGGAAGAGAGTGTTTTAAACAGCAAGAATGGCCAGGTGCATTGGCCAGTGGGAGGAAGTCAATAAAATAAGCACTGAAAAGATCAAATGAGCCACATGGCAGTTGACACTGAATTTGGCAAGAGCAGTGTCCTTGGGCAGGAGGGCTGAGCAGTGGTTGGGAGTAAGCAACAAGAGACAGGGTACAGGGACCCCTGGGTGGCTAAGCAGTTGAGCATCTGCCTTCGGCCCAGGGCGTGATCCTGGAGATGTGGGATCGAGTCCCACATTGGGCTCCCTGCGTGGAGCCTGCCTCTCCCTCTGCCTATGTCTCTGCCTCTCTCTCTGTGTGTCTTTCATGAATAAATAAATAAAATATTTTTCTTTTAAAAAAGAGAGAGAGACAGGGTACAAACCACTCTTCCAAGAAAGTTGGCTGGAAGGATGGGAGAATTTTAGAAGTACCTAAAGGGGCATGGAGGGTTAAAGGAGGAGATGAAACTTTTTTTTTTTTGATGAAACAGAAACATAAATAAGTTGATAACAATTCCTTTAAGTAATGACATGGTGAAGGACACGGGACAAATGGAAGCAACCAGAAGGAAATGTAGAGTTCAGAAAGAGTGTTTTGTTTAATCATTCATTTGCTTGTTTTTTCTTAATATCAAAGACTTGAACACAATATACAACAAATGGAAAGAAACTGGTAGGGAGGAAGAGTTTTACTGGAGAACGTATTCAATTGGTCAAGGTCTCAGAGAAGAGCTAGGGTCTAGTCTTCATGGAGGGATTGGCTTTACCGAGCCAGCCCTCTGGAATAGGAGGCCGCACTCCAGAAACGACAGGTGCCAGTTCAGGGAAGTAGAGCAGGGCACTTATGGGATTCTTGGTCAGTGGCTTTTGCTTTATGTTTTGTTCTGTTTTTTTTTTTCTTTCATTGAACAAGATAATAATCCAAGAAAGTGTTGCAAGCAGAAAAGATGCAAATGGTGAACCGAGAAAGAAAGAAAAGTGCAAAGCCAGGAAAAGCACAGCTGAGCTTTGGGGTCTGGAGGTGGGAGGGAAGGCCGTAAGGGCCAAAATCTAGGTGTTAAAATTCAGAGCAGTAAAGGGTAAGTCCTGAAGCAGAGCGTGAAGTGGTAAGGCTTCCGGTTTAGGACATGCACAGCGCAGGGGTGGGAAAGCTTGGCTTCCCAGGTACTAGCTAGGGGAGTGGCTGGGCCCCCTGGCTTAAATTGGCAAGAGAACCAGGCAACTGGAGGCTTTTTCAGACTCTGAGGGACACAAAGTAAAACAAGGTCTCTAGCTTCACTGAGTTCATAAGGCAGTTGGAAATAAAAGACCAATCCACGTAAAGCAGGTAGCAGCGTGACTGCCAGTTTCCCTCATCACCAGTATTGCAACTGTGGGTAGGCTGAAGGTCCCATCACAAAGTGGTACAAGAATCCCACAAGACCAGTTGAAAATACAAAGCAGCATACGCTCAAATGTCAAATGAGAGCTAGAGTAAAAGGATGGGTCCTTTGATTTGGAAGGTGGAAAAGGAGTCAATAAATCAGGCAATAAATTGGACACAGACGCCTGCCACACCATGCAGCTGACGCGTCCTGCTATCTTAGTTTTGTCCCAGACACAACACGAGAGAATGACACGCCATTCCCCGTAGACTGCAGAATGAGCTCCTGGAGCCAGTGGTCGGAATGTGACCCTTGCCTCAAGCAAATGGTAAGTGTTCATTGTCATTCCCCACTCATCACCCCAAATGGGAACTGTGTTGCGGGCCCCTGCGGGAAAAGGACTCTGAGGCAGGGACCACCCATCCCCATCCCTGCCCAGCTGCGTTCCACACTGAGAAGGAAAGATCCACACCTGGCGGGTGAGGCTCCCGCTGCCTGGACACCTGCACGGGGCACTCAATGCCAGATGCGTGCCCTGCGGGGCCCGCCGGGCAGGCGACTCTAACCCGGGTGACTGCACTTAGGGCCCCTTCCACCGTGAAACCATCGCCGCCACTGGGTCTCTAGCCAGCTACAGTGCCGCGGCCGCCGTCCTAGATCATTGTCCCTTTGGGGCGACAGAAATCCTAATTTTTCCAGCGGGTTTTGTGCAGTTTCGCTCAAGGAGCATCGAGGTCTTCGGACAATTTAACGGGCAGAAGTGCGTAGACGCGGTGGGAGACAGACGGCAGTGCGAGCCCGCCGAGCCCTGCGCGGCCGAGGAGGAGGACTGCGGCGGCGGCGACTTCAGGTGCCGCACAGGTAACCCCCCCCCGCCCCCCCCCCGCGGGCTCCGGGGAGCTCTCAGGGGCGAAAAGAAAGAAGCCTATTTTTTTTTTTGGTATATTTCTGATTGGAGTTCGATTTGCCAACATATAGCATGCCACCCGGTGTCCATCAAGTGCCCTCCTCAGTGCCCATCACCCAGTCACCCCCACCCCTTGTTCCTTTCCCAGAGTCAGGAGCCTCTGGGGTCCTGTTGCCAAGGGCCACGGGGCCGCTGAGAGGGCTGCCCGGTGCGCCCTGCGGAGAATCCCGGGCGCATGTGTGCTCCGTCCCCTCCAGCCCTGCACTGCCCTTGTGACCTCGGGGTGGGGGGGGGGGCGGAGGAAGCCCGGGCCTGGGACACAGCGTGGCTCTCTCGGGTTTGATCGCAGGCAGATGCATAAAGAAGCGGCTCCTCTGTAACGGTGACAATGACTGCGGGGACTTCTCAGATGAGGACGACTGTGAAAGTGATCCCCGTCTCCCCTGCCGAGAGAAAGTGGTGGAAGAATCGGAACTGGCGCGGATGGCGGGCTACGGGTCTGTATCTGGCTTGAAGGCTTCTGGGTGAGAACGGGCAAAGGTGACCTCCGTCCCTCCCCGGTGCTAGAGAGGCCGAGGGCCCGCATTCGGCCGCTAGTGTGCCTGAGCTTCAAAGAAGATAAGTGCCGAATCAGCATTTCAGGACAATTTGCACAACCGCCTGGCCTCACTTAGGGGGTCTGTAGAATCAGGATGGGAGGTGGTTTTCTCCGAGTCCAGCAGGAGATGACACAGGTCAGTTATGAGCCTCTGGAAGGCCGCAGCAATGCTCAAGTGACTGTTGACACTTGAACACTTGCCAGTGGTAGGTCTTGCAATTCAAATATCTGATTTGTAAGTAAGGCTGTCTTCCATGGGGAACTTGTCCTGGATCTGTACCTGGTTATAAGGTCTGAGGAAGGTACAGTCTTCTAGAGCTGACCCAAGAGGAAAAGGCAGACAAGAAGTTCTGATGCCAGATGGTGATGGTGTGGAGACTCTGGCTCTTATTACAAAGAGAGGCTTCGTTCATTTTCATTCATTCTATGTTCATTGCAGAACACAGGGGGGCTCTGGCCAGCTATGCTGTGATGAGAAGTCTAGGACAGTTTAGAACTCAGAGTTTTACAGAATAAAGATTACCCAGAGATATATGCTCTAGGAATTAGGAAAATGATGTGGCCCTGAGGTGCTATTCCATTCTGCTCCATATAGTCTGAGAACATTCCAGGGATGCCTATGGCATAGTTTCCATTTGTTGTTCTCAGCTGTTTTCAATCTACTTTGGGTAGATTGGTTGGCAAGTTGTACTCAACAGAGATGTAGTTTTTCCTACACCCAGTGGTATGTTGACAGAGATGGGTCTGTTTCACTGCCTGTAGTGGAATATGTCTTATCAACCACCTAATCTGAGTGCCTGGATCATGACAGGATCATGACAGGCACTCAGATTAGGTGGTTGATAAGACCCGGTTCATCACAGGCACTCAATAAATACTGGGAGCTGATAAGTAGGTAAATCAATCAATTAATTAATGAAAATAAGTGTTTCTAAAATACTGTCAGTTGGCATCAGGTGAAACTGGGTCACTAGAAATACATGCAGGTTTAGGACTCAAGTCCTGAGAATAGGGATAAGGAGAGGAAAGAAGATGGAGGTATCAGCAAGGCTGATAGAGGGATTAAGGTACTGGTTCTCATCCAGGAGTGATTTTCTCCCCAGAGGACATTTAGCAAAGTCTGCAACCTATTCTGGTGGTCACAGCTGTGGGGTAGGGATGGAGGACTCAAGAAGTGAGGGAGCGTTGCTGATATCCAGTAGGTAGAGGCCCTGGATGGTACCAAACATCCTGCAGTGCCCAGGGCGGCCAGATCCACAGTGTCAGTGGCCCTCAGGCTGAGAAACCCTATGCCAGGGTAGGGGGCAGTTCTTAAGGTAAGGCCTCTGGACCAGGTTTGGCTCTAAACAGAGATGTCTTCTCTCTCTAAGCCAGATACAACTTGTACTTGTTGAATCTCAATGAGGGAAAAAGTTCCAGGATACCAAGAGTCAGGCACCACATGAAACAAGAGTCAGGCACCACATGAAACATCACATTTCATACACCCTTTATTCACTTTATAAAATCTCCTAGCAGCGTTCACGTATTGCCCACTAAGTGTCTTTGGCCCTTGGCCAAAAGGTAGGAATCTTGAAACCAATGTACACTCTTTGTCTCCAAACATAGGAGGTTCTTTTAATAATTGTCAGTAAATGGTATGGGGGCTGTTGGAAACCTTATAACCAGATCACTGCGTACTCCAATGAGTTCTGACTCTTCCTGCCGCTTTCCTCAAGGAGAGACTGTGAGTCTGTGGTGAAAGTCCAGTGTTACTTTATTTTGCTTTATTTGGGGTCCAAGAAACAATTTTCTCCTTAATCTAAACAGATGGGCTTGAAGCAGAGCATTGTGTATGTTATTTATTTTCTCTCAATGCAAATTTACACCTTATCTTATAAAAGGCTACAGAAATTTTAGCCCACTTAGCTGAAAAACAATCATAATCTATTGGTTTTCTTTGTTCAGAGAAAAGAAAAATTTATTATATAGCATTTGCTAAGAAGTTTCATAGTGAGGCATCCCAGAAAGCTGGCTAAATACAGCAAGCTTTGCCACAGTAAGGGCTGGTGACAGGGAATGTCACAGGGCTGAGTCTTCAGGACCAAGCAAGAGGATGGGGCCTCAGTTCTGGGGAAGGTTGGCTGCAGAAGTGAAAAATAAGGTAGTTCCTTATAGAATAAATCCACCAAGCTTTTTATTAAATACCTCATTATCATTAACAATAACCTATAACTAATTTAGTCTTCATAAAGCCTATTATTCTCCAACAGCTTTCATTTGCATAGTACTTTGAACTTTATTTTCTACCTTTTTTTCCTCTATAGATTTTTATTTTTTTTTATTTTTTTTCTATAGATTTTTCATAATAATCCTGTGAGGTTGTCAGGGGAGGTATTATATTCATTTTACAGGAAAAAAAAAACACCTGAGTGAAGCAAGTAAGACCAGTTTAGTCTCTTTAGATTCTAATGGAACTTTTTTAAATTACTTTTTTAAAGATTTTATTTATTCATGAGAGACACAGAGAGAGAGGCAGAGACATAGGCAGAGGGAGATACAGGATCCCTGTGGGTAGCCTGATGTGGGACTTGGTCCCAGGACCCCGGGATCATGACCTGGGCCAAAGGTAGATGCTCAACCACTGAGCCACCTGGGTGCCCCTCTAGTGGAACTCTTTAGTTTCTAGTGAAACTAAGCCCAAGTTTCTCTCACTTTCATAAAACTATATATTTTTTCACCACACCTTACCTTGGCTTCTCCCCACATGCTCATCACCACCCCACATCACTTCCTCTCATCACTACAAAGCCCATAAATCAAAACTTCAAAGCAAAACTAACCTTAGAAAATGAAACTCCTTATTGATCATCCAAATTTTTGAATTAAGAGTAGAAATCAGTTAATTAATATTTAAGAAGAGTTCTCAAAGTGACATGCTTTATTATATTGGCGATATTCTTCGATCTCATTAACATTGCATATTTAGTTACCATGTATCACAATTATTCTTCTAAGCCACTATAGGATATATTGACTAGAAATAATAGGAGTAAACACCCTAGTCATGGCAACAGGCTTATAAACTGCTTCTACACCATCCAATCTGGAAAATCTCAACAAGTCTTATCAGAGGTCATATACAATCAGATTCTTTTACCCAAAAGTCACAAATGTCCAGTCATTAATTTATACGTGTTTTTTTCATTTGAAGGACTCCCACTTAAATTCTTAATCCCAGGAGAATTCCCTTGTATCACAAATATTTCCGCCTCTTGCCTTGTAAGCATTTGAGATTCTCCAGAAGTGTTTCGGGAAATCCCCAACCCATCTTTCATTCATTGAAAAAATATAAATCCGAACCAGCTGTAAATGATGTTCAGTACATAATGCATTACTTTTTTATGTGATCGAAGCATAGTACCACTTCTGTGGAGGGAGCTTTCTTTTCTGTTCACCTGGTAGGTTAGAATTGCCTATGGTTCTAGATGCTGGCATATAAACAGGCATCTCTAGGTGCTGCCAAATATACATGCTTTTTTTATTTCCCAGGCGATGACATTCCATCCATGAGAAGTTTTCATGTTTCTTGGCCGAAAAAAATTGGCTCATTCTAGACTAGACTGGCTGTCTCTGTAGTAGTGGAACAAAGTCAAAAGTTTTGAAACATTTCTTCCTTAGTTGTGCTTTGGAGTGTGGATCCGCTTCATTGTAACTTTCCAGATGGATCCAGCCAACTGGTCAATTTGTTGTTCTGTAAAGGAAAACCTTCAAAGGGGGGTATGCACACTGTGGGGTGCAAAAAGACTTTCTAAGGGGGAGGCAGACAACTTTTAAGATAATAGTTTCTTTAACTACTAGCTGCTTAACCAATCTATGGAACCAACAGTAAATCTTCGATTCCATACATACATATTTTCCATAAACTTGAGAAGCTTAACAACTCAGTGGCATTCAAGTTGTGAAGCCTATTCTCCCCCTTTCATCTCCCCTTTCACAATAGCCTTTCACCTTCTAAAAGAAGAGTACCACCCCCCTCGCCTATCTCAATTTTACTGTATGGCAAAAGAACTAAGAAACATTTCCAAATATTGGTGCTCAGTTGGACTCCAAGATCTTGTGAGTCAACTGGTCTCCGATTCCTTTTGAAAGATAATGTAATCAATTGTGAGATAATGGGCTATAAAAATATACTTTTAATTTTTTAAAAGATTCTATTTATTTGAGAGAGTCAGCAAAAGAGAGAACAAGCCAGGGAAGGACAGAGGGAGAAAGAGGAGTAGGCTCCCCACTGAGCAGGGAGCCAGATGCAGGGCTCCCCTCCCAGGACTCAGGGATCATAACCTGAGCTGAAGGCAGACCGACTGAGCCACCCAGGCGCCCCTAAAAATAGTTTTTAATGAAAGACTAGTCTGTGATCTTTTCTTGGCATAAAACTCAGAAAATCAAAGAATCAAGTGACATTGCCATGACAAAATTCCTTCTATTCTTTTCCACTTATATGAGTAAAGTTTCCAGCATTTGCAGCTATAAAAAATAGAAAATCAGAATACAATTGATACTGAAACATCTTTTTTTAGCAATAAGTAATATTCATTTCTGAAGGCAAGAACTAATCAATTAATTTAAAAAGATCACCCATTCATTTCATTGAGACACCTTTCCAAAAAATTTTGTAATTGTTTGTTAACTATTTTAAAATTTTAATACACTTATATATACTACTAATAATAATGATAACTCAATCCAGAAGAGCTTTTAATTACTTAGACCCTATTGTTAAACTATATTTAATTTTTTTTAATTTCAATTAATACCTTTTTAGTACACAAATGCGTAAAAAAGTGATACCTTAAACCCTCCAAGCTAAAATAACATTACATTAAGTTAAAATTCTGTGGTGGAAGTGGAATAGAAACATGAATTCAAGAATGAAAAAAGAGACATATAGGAAACCTCTGTATCTTTTACTCTTTTGGCAGTGAAACTTAAAACTGCTCTAAAAAATAAAGTGTCTTTTTAAAAACAAGAATCAAAAGGAATACCAGAAAATGTCTAGTTGCTAAAGAAATATAAACATTGCAGTGATTTGATACCCACCCTCACTATGGCATTTATATTTCATTGGATTTATTTTAAAAAGAGGCAACATAATTGTACTTTAAGATGTAAATATTTGTAGCACACTGAGAAATTATATCCTTTGCAACATCTCAAACTTAAGATGAAAAATCTTAGAGGTCAAATTAAAATTGTGCAGGCAGGCAGAATTTATTATAATTTTTTATAGAATAGACAAGCAGAAAATCTGAAAACTACTACCCGAAATCACGCCATACACATTTCCACCTCCAGGCTTCCGGGCACCCCATTCCTCCCGACCTTCCGTCCCCATCCTTCAGAGTCCAAATCAAATCTTACTTCTTCTAAACTCTATGTATGACCCTTTGGGAACCTGCGCAGTACTCACCTGGGCTACTTATATGGCACATGTGTATTTGTCCTTGGACTGTTTTTTAAAATTGGTGGTTATGTGTACAACTCCCTAATCTGAATATAAATTTCATGAGAGCAAAGACTGTGTATGAACTCTCTTAGTATTACTATTTACTACGAACACTACACTCTTCATAGATAAAATAGTCACCTAAGAGTTAATCATTATTAACAACAGAGGTTAATGTTGTTGTCCACTGACAGTGAAGAGGTACAGCGTCTCTGTTGATGCAGATTCGTGAAGGACAAGTTCACTGTAGAACAAAGAAAATCAAGGGCTTGTTTAAGAAACAAACACAGAAAATTTGTTTCCAGCGTTCTGTGTCTGTGTATCAAAACATTAGTCATATGGAAGGAAAAAAGGGAAAAAAGTATTACTCATTTGCTGTAGATGCAGGGATGGGTGGGGACGGGTAAAGAAGTGAAGCTGAAATTTCAACCTACTGTAAGGCATAAGATGTCTGAAAAAGTAAACCAGATAATAATGTCTCTTTTTTCTTTCTTATTCAACTTACTAAGTCTCATTTTTGGCCCTATGTTAGAACTTTAGGCCTATAGTATTTTTCACGAGGGGTTTTGATAGAGCAAAAAGTGAGAAGTGGTTAAATTTTAGCTCAGAGAAAGATGCTCCTGAATTGGTTCTTTAACTTATCTTTCTTTAAAGTTGAGCTATAATGTCATTTTCTTTGTAGATTCAAAGTTTATTAAGAATATGCCATTGAGGGGCACCGGGGTGGCTCAGTCAATTGTGTCCTGTCTTCAGCTCAAGTCATGATCTCAGGGTCCTGGAGATGGAGCCCCACATTGGGCTCCCTGCTCAGTGGGGAACCTGCTCCTCCCTCTGCCCCTCCTCCCGCTCATGCGAGCTCTGTCTCTCTCTGTCTCTCTGTCTCTCTCGCTCTCGCTCTCTCTCTCTCTCAAATAAAAAAAAGAAAATCTTAAAAAAAAAAAGGAATGTGCCCTTTTATGTGAAGATGTTGTTTTTAACTAATCTGCTGGTTAAGATACTCAATTATTTTTCTTCCATTAGCAACGAGTTTTAGAGTAAACCATCTACACCCTTTGACAAATTACTCTTGAAACCAATATCCAGATTTATAATCTAGTTCATTGGAGTTTGGGAATGTGGTCTAGAGCCATGAAGTATTTCTGCTTTTTTGTCAAACTGAATTATAGAAGTGCAGATCAGACTTCTATTTTGGCTTCCCTGGTCTGGAGCCTTATATTCCAGAAACAGACTAGAAGGCAATGCCCGTTCCTGCAATTAACAGAAGTGTACTTCACAAAGAATGAACTAGTTCTTGTTCAGACTTTGCTTTTGGGTCTACAAATCAAACGTAACTTTTTAAAAGCTAAATAAGATTTCTGTTTCTGAATTGAAGCTTGCCAAATAAAAGGTTTTTGTTTTTTTGTTTTTGTTTTTTGTTTTGTTTTGTTTTGTTTTGTTTGCTGGAAGGAAAAAGTAGAACTTCTGAGAATGCCTTTTCGGGATGCTGAAATTTTTGTGTTTCCCCTTGGAAAGTATAATAGAAATAGTATAAGCCTGGAGGGAATGAGGTTCTTGACAAGCAATGAAACAGCTGGAGGAAAAGGCTTAAGTTTAAAGAGAATGGGGAGAGAAAGAGCCCCAATGTTGATTCATAGATTAAAAATTACATGCATATGTTATACTGCCCCCCTGAGATCCTCTGTGCTCAAATAACTTAAATAGGTGGTATTACAGAGTTGGCTCTTAGCTCACCAAGGGAGGTTAGCTAAGAGTTACAACAGCGGAGTTAAGACTCCAGGAGCCAGATGGTCCCTTGCTCCCTGGTTATTGCATTTCTTTCATTGCGCTCTCAACAGTGCCCTAGTTGCCTGGAAGTTTATTGGGCCTTCCTAAGGTATGCTTGCTGCCAGAGACATAAAGCAGAAGTGAGCAGGCTCTTGCTTCTGTTCCTGATTATATCACACATAAATGGGTCGATGGGGACACGAGCCAAAGCTCTCTCTTTTCCCAGCCACAGAGGACTGCCTGGCATTAGCTCCTGGTGTCTCCCTTTCTGATGTTACTCTGTTCATTCTCAGCATCAACATCTTAGGGATGGAGCCACTAAGCACACCTTTTGACAATGAGTACTACAATGGACTCTGTGATCGAGTTCGGGATGGAAACACCTTGGTCTACTACCGCAGACCCTGGAACGTGGCTTCTCTGGCCTATGAAGTAAGTCTCCTCAGAACCAAACACATAGCTCAGCTTTTAGCTGAAAAGCCACTTCAATAAATTTAATGCTGAAAAATGTGAAAAGTTCAGTAGAACGAGAACTCGATGGGAATATAAGATTGATTTAAAGAAAAAGAGGTATAGCTTCTGTCTCTTTAGAAAATATACGGTGGCCTACAATCAATCCTCAGTTATGTGCACTTACTGATAAGAGTTTTTGCAAATACCTAGTTGTCATAAAAAGAATCATCTAAGATTCTGATCAAACTAAAAATTAAATCAATGCTGATTTAAGTACTGGGTACACTGCTCAAGCTATTTAAGCTCCTTTTTTTTTTTTTTCTTTTTTGCTAGCCTACCAATCCAAACCCATCTTTACGTTTGTTTTTTTCTTCAGGATTCCCCTTGGTTGACTCTTGGGAGTGGCTGTTTTCACTCACCTCAAACCCCTCTAGCTCTTGTTAAACTACTTCTTAAAAAGACTCTTACTTTATCCAATGCTACTGGAAACCTAACCACCTTCCTGAAAGTCACCTAAATTCTCTAGAACCATCCACTAACTGGACCCCTCCATTTAAAGGATTAATATTCATCGCCTTTAGAGAGATTTTCTTTGGTCTTAGCAAGATAAAATAAAGAATAATAATTAGCTTATTCTAAACCAAGAGCTACAATAATCTGTTTTTTTAATGGTCCCATTGGTGACCCATAAAGTTCAGTCTACTCAGTTTTCACAAAGTTTTTTACCACTGTTGTCACTCACAACAGTTTCAAAAAAACATATACTTTTAAATAAATATGGTTAATAAGTCTTTTATTTTTAACAATGTTGTAAAACAATCCCTACCCATTGTATCCTGAAGCGATCATGCTCACCCATGAATACTAAAGACTTTAAAGTGTGGGCTATTTGGCTGGTACTTCTTTCACATGTGTCTGTATCATACAGTTTTCCTGTCTCTGTCGCTGTGACCAGCCTCTTAGCTTCTCCATAGAGGTAGGAATGGCTGTGAGTGACACAAGGTGGTCAGGAATGGGGACATGGGGACCTTGCCTGGGCTGATCTTAAAGCTACATTTGGAGAGTAAATACACTGTTGTCTCTTATTTACAATCTGAAAACAGATGGGTTTCTGCACTCAGTGTTCCGGATCTTACAAAGGTGATGTGTTGCTTACCCCGTATATTACCTACACCCCCCAGGGGAGTCGGGAACAGCATTTCATAACCAAACACATTAATTAATATTTCTGTAGTGAAACCACTGAAGTTCAGACAAAGTGGGAGAAATGAAGACTATAGTGACTTTTTATCAGTTCAGGTAGGAATAATGCCTCCAAATGAGTTTTGGCACCAAGCTTATAAAAAAGCAGAGAGGGATTGTAGACCTGGATATCTGGCCAGTGTTAACTGAGGAGTACTGATGGAGTTGCCTGGGGGCCTGCTAAAGTCCCCAAATCACCTTCTTGGTGTTACCACTGCTGGTGCTCCCCCCACTCTAATGCGTTATGGTCTTGGGGAGTAGCCAAATTTGTTTCTACCATACGTAAAAGAATATAAGCTTATTGAATGGAAATCCCTATTGTGATTTCTTAGAATTTCTTTCTGCACCTTCTAATACCCAATAGAACATTTTACCTCCTCTCTCATGTATTTTATTATAGTAACTAAAAGCAAAAAATGCATTTTATACTTCCTGATGGCCTGTTATACTAATACTCAACCCAATATATGTGTACATATGATGCTCAACACATTTTTATTGAATGAATTAATTTTTTAAATCCTATCTTACTTACTCATTGACAGTAATTTCCTGTCTTTTATATTTTGAAAGAATTCTACTGAGTTATCAGTATATGAGGAATATTTCTTAATAATGACATCTGGCTCTAACAGATTCACACTCCCTCAATACCCCTTATCTCAAATGCGGCTCTGGTTCTCTGGCTCTCTAGAACACACTACATAGGTTAGAATCCCAGCTGTGCCCCTAAGCAGCAGTGAGAGCTCAGGAAAATTATTTATCCTCATCATGCCTTAGTCCCTCATCTGTAAAATAGAAATAATGATGCCTATCTTGTAAAGATAAATGAGTCTAAAACATCCAAGAAGTTACCGGCATGTAGTAAACATTCAGTAAATATCTGCTATCCCTCTTTTTTTAAAGAATATAATTAGTAAAAGATTTAGCTACAATTAAACATGTAATTAGCAGTCACATTACAGGTCAAAGTTTACTGCCTACTTTATAGGTCAGAAGTAATAACTAAGAATCACTGAAGCCTGCAATCACAGGATAAAAACAGTGATGGTGACATGTACAAATCAGTTCCTTTCCCCTTGTTTTTCTTTGGTCTTCTCCACTTTTGTTCTTGAAAGCAACAATTTGTAAATCAGGTTTCAGGTTTTTGTTATAATTTTCTTTAAACCTGGGTCACCATGAATATGTAAGATTTAAGAGGTCGACAAAGAATTGTAAAATGCACCTGGATTCTAATCCTCCTTTCCACCCCAAATCCAGCCAAAATCCTGGGTGACTTTTATATTCTGTGGACTGCAAATCACTTCTTGTTGCTTCTTCACTTCCTGTGTCTGTTCTACTAGAGCCACTCACATCTGGAACCACATCTTTAGCCTGTGTTCACCAGAACTTTGCTGCCTCGGGAATCTGAACATTGGGAAACCCAATATTTAACCCTTTGCCTCACTGCAACGGACCTATCTTTCAGCTCTCACTCTCATTTATGACCACAACCCTACTCTTGGTCCCCATCGAAACCCAGTTTTTTGACATCATTTTCCTCCCAGTCTATTTTGCTCTTCCTGCTCTTCCCTCTAATCAATCCAGATCCATCTGACCACTCTTGATAATATAATCAATGTCACTGACTTCTATTCCTTCTATGATCCAGAAAAATTCCAACTTTAGATGAACCCTATTATTTTTCCGCCTCTCTTGTAAACTTGTGCGGTTTAGAGAGAGTCATGTTGATCTAAGAATGGGTGGCATTATAGCTTCCCCCAGGGCCTCCACACAGCTCAGCAGGTCCACACCTCCCCCCTGGCTTCAGGACTACCCATTCATCCTGCCAGGTTGGTTTAAAACTTCCAGCAACCCCCTCAAGCTCTTCATCCGAGTGTTCTGACCTTGAGCTCAATAGATGGCCTTAACTTCAACTTGACAGAGGATACTCAAGCCTAGATAAGAATTTTCTAGTTTTTTCTTCCAAGTTATACTCATGTGCAAACTTACCTGCCACTCAGTCCACCCTTAACATCCTTCTTTTCTGTTTCAGTTGAAAGTGTGTCTTTCCAGACTCTGGATTTCATGCCAAGTACCTTGCTAGCTATCCTCTTAAGCCTTCTGTCTGTTCTACTAGAACATTCTCCTCTTCCACCCTACCCTTAATATATAAATATTTCAAGACTCTCATTTACAAAACACAAACACAAGAAGGAAATGCCCATCTTCACATACTCTTATCTACATTTGCAGTCTCAATTTTTGCACTTCCCATGAATTCTCTAACTATATTAGTTTGCTAGGGATGCCATAACAAAGTATCATAGAGTGGATAGTTCCAACAACAGAAGTTTGTTTTCTCACAATTTGAGAGGCTAGAAGTCTGAGATCAAGGTGTCTGCAGGGTTGGTTTCTTCTGAGGCCTCTCTCCTTGGCTTGTAGATGCCATTTTTCCTGTACCTCCACTCCACAGCCTTTTCCCTCTGGTCTGTCTGCATTCTAATCTCCTCTTTTTATAAAGGCACCAGTCATATTGAGTTCGAGCCCACTTTAATGACCTCATCTTAATTTAATTAGCTCTTTAATGATTATATCTCCAAATACAGTCGCATTCTGTAGTAGCTGGGCTTCGGACTTACACACATGAATTGGCGGGTGGGAGGGGGAGTGGACACAGTACAGCTCACAACACCAAATCTCTATTACTTTCTTACCCAGACTCCTTTTGCCAAAGTCCATCTTGAAGTTATTTTTTTTTTTAGCTCCCTTTACTTAGGACAGCCCTTAAATATAAGTCTCACCAGAGTTCCTACTCTACCTTATTTCTCTGGTCTCTGTCTACATATTCTCCTTGGGTTGATTTTTTTTCCCCTCCTGTGGCTGTTTCACCTCTAACCTGATGGTTTGCAAATACTGTATTTCTGGTCTCTCTCTGAACTGGATACCTATGTAGCTAGTCTTCTGCAGTTGTCACACAGTTAACATACCCAAAGCTGATATCCACTCTTTGACCCAGTTCCCTGATTTTCACTCTTGAATTCTTCACTTAGATGGATACAATGAAATAATATCTTCCTAATCAACAAATTCAGAATCTGAGAATCATTCTAAAGACTTCCTCTACAGATGCATGTTCCTCAAAGTCTTCAATAGCCAATCAATGTCCTAGTTCCATTATTTCATAATGTCTGCTAAATCTGTCTCCTCTTCTCCATTCCCACTGCCATGGCCATGGCCTTAGGCCCCTGTCGTTTCTCAGCTGGGCTGCTATGAGAGTCTCTGCATCAGCTTAAGACCTCTAGTTTTGTTCAGTTTCAATTCATTCCACACTCATCAGTATGAAGATAAATGATAAATCTGATCTTCTCACTTTGCTGCTTAAATATAGTGAGTGTTTCCCAGTAGCCAGCAGGATAATCAGTCTCTGTGGTAGGGAGAAAAAGGTCACTTCTGACCTGGCTTTTGATTACCACTCCTCCTTCTTTCTCCTCTGAATTCTTTTTTTTTTTTTAAGATTTTATTTATTTATTCATGAAACACACACACAGAGAGAGAGAGAGAGAGAGTCAGAGACACAGGCAGAGGGAGAAGCAGGCTCCATGCAGGGAGCCTAACGTGGGACTCGATCCCAGGTCTCCAGGATCAGGCCCTGGGCTGAAGGCAGCGCTAAACCGCTGAGCCACCCGGGCTGCCCTCTCTGAATTCAATGTTGATTAGATGCTTCACCTGACAACTAATGCAATAGCCTCTGTTTT